AGTCCTTTCAACGTGAAGGGCGGAAGCTTCAAGATGAAAGCAACGTAAGACATGACTCCATCTTAAATTCCGCTCACAGTGAACCTCGCTCGACCATGCTGACCTGCATCCATCCTGCAGGAAGGAATTACTGCTGCTCGATGTGAGAGACACACCTTCTCCTGTTACCGGCACATATGGGCCAATGGAAAATAGAGGCAACATTGTTTACAAGTTCGTTGAAGTAGGACCACATCTTCCCATCGTCATGCAGAGCTTGGATGATGCGGTATCAAAGGTAATTCAATCGAATGCAAATACAGCGGGAATAGAAATCATCCGTGTAGAAACACTAAGTGAAGCATTGCATTTGCTTTCACGTTTCATTTCATGCTATCGTTCCATGAAAATCAAACGCGATACACACCGAGTATGGACCGACATAATGAAATGTTTCTCCCCATCCGCAGGCTGTTGAGTTGATCAAGCATTTGGCTCAGGTCAATAGCTACCAAATTGAGAGTGCCACAACTGAGGATGTGATGAAATTGTATCAACTACTGCGATTGGTGCCATACGAAGGATTAGAAGTGATGTGGAAGCAGTTTGCGGCACATGACGAGTACAGGTGGAGTATCTGAAACTTTCGGTTGGTTGTACAGGATTAAAATGTGGTCAATTGACAGAATTGTCTACTCTTTTTCCTCGAGAATATTCAAGTGATATTTGTTAGTTCAACACATTTTGACACATTTGTCTGAAATAAGTGAATGGAATCAAAGGGGTTTTGTTGTTGTTGTTCTCTGTGTTGTAAGAAAGAAACGGACTGACCCTGCAAATTGCATCTTGTTAAAGATTTGTGTTGCCACATCAAAATAACAAGTCGGCTGATTGGCCAGCATGTTTTCACAGTGAACATGATGTCAAAATCAGATCCACTTGAACAGAATGAGTAATGACTGAATATTTAATCCTCATTCAGTTTAAAACGTCTTCAGTCTGACACTTTATCTGATTAAAGATGCATTGTCATGTCGGTTTGATTAAAGAAAGGTTAATGTAAAAAGCAGCTCTCCATTAAAACGAAGGAAACCATTGACACTTAATATTTTATTAAAAGCCACCCCTGACCTTCATTTCTACAACACGATTTAATTTAATTAGTTGAAGGATAATCTTTGACGTGAAAGATTAGAAGCGCTTAATCAATTTCCTCTGACTTTGCCCTCATTAGACGGTGGTTTTTGGACACGGTTGTGGAAGTCAACGATGCCAGAATCCTTAAGTTCCTCCAGATGAGGTTCCAGAAAGGAGACATAACTGTTTCCGAGGCCTTCCAAACGCTCTTATTGGCCTTCGAACACCTTGAGCCTCTTCCTGAACTGGTTGAGATGGCTAAAGTGAGGATGGGGAAAAAAAAAAAGTGCCAAAAAGCTGTTTGAACAAAGATGACCCTTGTGTTCCATGATTACATTGCTGCCTTTTCTCCTCAGGGGTTCCTGAGCCTGCCCTACAGTCGATCTAACGTCTTTATATGGCAAACTGTGGCACTTTCTTATGGCTCACTGGTGTACAAGCACTGCACCTACTACACACCTTGTCCAGTGTCTGCTGTTCAGGTAAAGAAAAGAAAGAATCATGCATGCATTGCATTTGAATTTGGGAGAATCTTTCACTACTACTTGAAATTGTTATCTAGTTTTGATGAGGTCACCCCACCCGACTCCAAGTCCACTTCCAGACAGGCAAATTTTCAAACCGCTCTTCTATTAAGAGCTTTGTTCGGATTATAATTTGTTCGGCTAGCTCTTTATGTGGCGAGGAATATATTTAGGATGAGACGTGATTCCGCCCCGTCAAGTACGGTAGCAAAACAATATTATTAAGCGTTAATATGATAAATGCAATTACATTACATTTCAAAAGTCTCGAAAAAAAAA